ACTACTACTACTACTACTATATATATATATATATATATATATATATATATATATATATATATATATATATATATATACTTGAAAAAAAAAAGCATATTTTCACCTACCACAGGTCTGACGTCTATATAAATCGTATATAATGACACGTACACAGTTGAATGCGATAGTGTCAAAATTTCAAGGCAATTGATGATGAGCTTTCAGAGATTAAGGTAGGTAACAAACGAACATTCACATTTTTATTTATAGAGATCACATTTTTATTTATAGAGAATGTAGCTCATCAATGGCGGATATCAGTTATACAGTATTAATATAATTATGTAGTATAATTATATAATATTGATATAAGTTAATGTAAATTATTTAGCATTAATATTAATATAAATTCAACTAAAATCATACCATTAATTTGCTTGAAATATATAAACTTAGATCACTTAGCAATTTGAAGTAACTATATAATCAACTTAAGATAATCTCAAAATTTTCAAAAATCAAGTAATAATCTCAAAAGGCAAGAAAAAACTGTCGTCCACTTACCATGAAAGTGAAACACCCTTCTCTTTCAGAAGAGAAATTTGAGGTGCTAATTCCCGAACACATAATTCCATTACCCCATAAGAACAAAACGTATCACGAACTGAAGTATCAAATCATTATTTAAATATATTACTATGCGGTGCAAAATAGTTGAAATACTGAAATAATCCTAATAATTATAATACAATTACTAAAAGTGATTTAAAATTTTAGATTTCAACGTATGTGGGTTTCCTGAAAAAGATTTGCTATGTTAACAGTCAACCATTTATTTCCGGTCTGGCCATTATCAATTTTAAAACTTTTCCTCAGATCGCCAATATTATAATACAAATAGATTTTTTTTGAGAAAAAAAAATATAAATAAATTTTCTTTTAAAAAATATCTAATTCATATCGACAGAAATGAAAAATCACGAGCTAAGAGATAGAAACCTTTTCGTTGTGAAACTGCTGTCAACCATAAGGCAGCATTTTGCTCAACTTCTGCTGGCGGAATTAACAATGAATGGTGACCGGAATAGACACTGAAATCAAAATTAACCGTATATTTTTTACGTACATTGTGATATCCTTAGACGATAAATTATACAGATGGAAGGAATTTTTATGGTGAAATTCGCAACCAAATCAATATATGTGGAAGAAACAATCTACCGATGCATTATTAATCTATAAAGTTTGTAATGATAGATAGATGAAGGGAAGTGTATTTAAATAAATTATCACGTAAGGCGGCTACTTTCACAAACGAAATGAGACAACAGTAATGAAAATAACCAAAGCAAATGGCTTACCCAGACAGACACCAAAGTGTTAATCCCAGACCGCAATATGGATCAAGGCACAAAGTGATATGTCGTGACGGATATAATTCACAGGCTACTTTTAAGCTCCTACATAATGCTGTAGCACTAGCAATACTGATAACAATCCCCGCTAGCTGTCCTGTAGTACTTACTGAGAAATCCTGAAAATTTAAATAAACATCAAATACCACCATCCATTTCCAGCAAACAAAGATAGGTAACACTGTAGTATGATTTTGATCCATTCAACAAAACCGGAAAATGATGAACAAATTCATGAATTATTCAAACAGTAGTACTTTCTCACCAGATAACAAACATCGGTTGCTTTTCTCTCAAAACACTCAGATTCCCACTTTTTCTTGCTAAGTGATGGAAGATCATCCACATCCAAAATCGTAGGCCATGCCTGAAATGTTCTTTGTATCGTTCTTCGAACTACTTGATTTACTTTCTTGCATACATAATTTGATTTGAAATAGCAGAGTAACGCCTCCTACTCAAATACGGTAAACAAACGTCAAAAGGAAACTTACCTTTGCATCAACCCTCAAGGAAGCTTCTTTGCATTTAAGTAGCTTAATTAAAGATGAAGTTGAGATCACTGCAACTGCTTTTGAAACATCCACAATCATTCGTACTGTCGGTAAAGTTATTTGCAGGTTATGAGGATGTGGTGGTCGTACACAAACGGGTACCAGTCCTTTAATATAACTCTTTCAGTTTAATAAAAATAATACCGATCAAAATAATTCATTATGCATTTGGAAATTATCTTGATGTTAGTAAATGAAACTTCCAATAGTTTTGCTACCACTATCAAAATCATCCGCCTTGGCGAAAATACCATATATACTACTCATGGTTTTACACGGAGTTCCGAAAAGAAACTCATAATGTCAATGTTAAAATGTCCTGCCAAATCATATCCTTGTATTTCAAGATTGATTGTTTTTCAAATTTTAATTTAAATTACATCTAAATCTGCAGTTTAACTTAATAAGTGCTGAATTTCAGTAATGTTGCCAAATACTTCGTATATGATAATATTAAAAACCAAATTTGATGCTTTCATCAAATCAAATTTTACAATTAAATTATGTAATTTCGATGTGAATTATCAGTATCGACGTACCTGCTGCTTGGCATCCATAAAAAGCTGCAATCAAATCAATACCAGGTGGAAAAATCAAAGCCACGTGTTCGCCTGGATTCAGCCTTCCTTTATCAGTTAACATCGAACCAATTCGTTCCGCCCTTTTCAGCAGTTGTGCACAAGTTATACTTTCCGTCTCCGTTCCACGTGAATTTATCAGCGTGAATAGTACGTGATCAGGAGATGTTTGTGAACGTTGCCGTAAGACTTCCATCAAACTAGTTACCTGTAATAGATAATTTTCAGCTACCCTAACAAATAAAATTGTAACTACGGTCATCCGTGAATGATGAAACTTGGAAATTAAAGCAAACAGTGTTAACACATTTCAAGACATTAATTAACCTTTTCGTCATCCGCATTAATTTGCCTCCCCTTAGCAGCAGCAATCCGTACACCCTGAACAATATTACCAACAAACATAGCTGCTGGTCCAACATCCGACTGCTGTTCCCGAGGTTTCGGTAAATTTATTACACAAGTATGGGGACACATCAGAAGTGTTGTTGGATGCAAAACGCCTTCTATAAATCGCTGCCGTGTTTCCGATACATGAATACCACCTAATGGTGTCTAAAATATCGCCAGATTTCATTTACTACAGTTAATTAAAAAAAAAAAAAACCTAACATAGTTCTGTTTATTCCTGGATGTTTCGTCTTGGAATACGAAATTTCAAACTTTCAAAATTAATTCCAACATTTTAGTTATTCCTTGAAAAAAAGCTTATAGTGATGAGTGCAGAGTCCTCCTTCGAGAATAGGGAATGATTTTATAGATTTTGAATCTTTTGAATTCATGGAAAATTTTCGAAGGTTTACTTTTGGTAACTGATTGGACGGCACAAGAGCCAAACAATAAATTCCCACTTGATGAATGCTATCGATTGCTTGTAATACTCGACTCATCCACTAAAATTAGATTTAGGATGATTCAAAATAAGCATAATTTAGGATGATTCAAAATGAGTGTAATGCAAGGGAGACATAAAAAAGAAATCAGATGTTTACAATAAATTCTTTGTCGCTCTCAAAGTTTTAATAACAGTTGAGAAATTAATGTCATCCACTACTTATCAAATAATATCACCAAAATTCGATATGAAACCCAGCGAATGCCGATATTTTATAATCATTCTCTTTGTCTTACATTCCAAGTAATATCGACAAGTAATATTTGTCTTCCTTTTTTTTCCCATAATCATTCCCAGAAACATGCTATTTTGAATATTATGGAATTAAAACTTCAACAGCGAAAATTCAGACAAAAATTACACTGAAAGAATCTTCCTCAGATACACCAGGTTTTTGCTCAGCTATGATGCATATCCGTTCATCGCGCAAAACATTTACAGAAAATACAGCAATCCTCCCTGTAAGTCATTATTTTTCATCAAATATCCTTTTCATAATTTTCGATGAAAATGATCACCTTATATATGCAAAGTCACAGTGATATCTTTTGTAGCTGATATTAATGTTCATATGTTCGACTTAAATGTCGATAAATCCCCTCATAGTTTTGATATATGACGAAAATTTATAATGGTACGAAAAAAATTCAGTTAATTTTAAATTCACATTGAGAAATGTCAAGAATCCAAATCACAAACCTCGATAAATAAATTTCATTGGTTCTACAGCCAGTGCTGTAGCAATCAAATCATCAGCACTATGTTGTCGACCGGATACATACATCTGCGAATTACGATTACCTACCACAAAAACCAAACCATTCTGGAATTTAAATTTTCTTAATTTCAATGAAAATTTGATACCATTAAAATAAAAAGACCTTCCATTAAAAGTTCACAAGAAATGGATTACCGGCCCAAGAAATCCAAGCAATCCGCTTCGAACATACGGCACCGGTCCCAATGACTTGTCATCGTTACCCAATGGTTCCACCTGCGAACAAAATTTTTAAGGTCAAAAAAATTTAATTCCATAAAATTAATCCCAACCGGTAATAAAACAATTATATGAGAAATTTAAAAAAAAGGGAACCTTGAAAGTACTGGTTGATAAACCATCCAATCCCCAATAAGCAGAACCTGTGCTATGTGCATACAAACAAATTTCACCAATTTCATCAGCCATACACAATCGCGGTGGCCCAGAAAGTTTAACAACAACAACAACACCACCAGTAATAACTTGACCAGCATCCTAGAATCAAATCCTTACCACTTAATAACTACTTCAGGATTAAGAGTTTGACAAATGAAATTCAAATGGAATAACTTATTTTTTACCTGTAAAGTTAACGATGTCAGTGAATTTTCTTGATCCACACGAACTACCGAATGGCTCAAAGCAGACATCGACAGGACACCACGGCCAGAATTATGAACACTTTCATCTACACAAGGCCTGTAGTAGAAGCAGAAAAAGTTATTTTTATATGATACATAAAGGAATATACACATTTCGTTCACATTAAACGTATACTATTATAAATACAGAAAAACAAAGAACAACTTAAAACAACTATTAAAAAAATGTCAGAAAAAGTTGACTAATAGGTAACATAATGAATTGCATTATCTAGCATCTATACATTTATTACCGCATCTGCAACATATCAATATTGATCGATATAAAAGGACAGAAAATGAGAAAAAAAAAAAAAAACCAAACCTTACGCAGCGATACTGTACCAGTTTCAGAAGAGCCTGCACACGGACAAACTGCATCGGGTCTTAAGCCACGTGACTTGAAAATAGAAGCAAACTGATCACATGACGATAAAGACCATGGATTTGCTCCATCAGCTACCAGAATTGAACGTAGTGACGATAAATTGATTTCTTTATGATCACGAGTTGCCAATAAACCCCAATGTAAATCACGTGATTTCACCAAAGCTGTTTTTGCTAAAGCGGAAAAAAAAGATAAAAAACAGCATGATATTAACGTTCACTTTAAAAAGAAATTGTTATGATATAAACAGAATATGTATAAAAACTTAACTAATTTCTTTTCTGAAAATTCCTAATAAAACGAAATATGCAAACAGAAAATTTAACTATAATAATTTCTTCTCCTTTCTTCTTCAAAAAAAGTTTTTTTTTTACTTTTACCTTGATATTTTGTAACCATCAACATCCACGATGCCGGATTGATTTTCATCAATGAATATGGAACAAAAATAACACGTAAACCAGAAAATACACTCTGAAATCAATAATTTCATATAAATTACAAAAGATCTGCAATTAATTTTACATTTTAAACAAACAGTTCAGTCAACTTAACCAATAATAAGTGAGCAGAAGAAGAGAAAAGACGTTAAAAAAATTGAAGGGGTATGAAAAAATTAAACATTAAAGGTCAAATGATTTAAAAATTAAACAGCACCGCTAAAATGGAATGCCACAAGCCTGCTTCACGTTTGAAATCAAGAACTGATACCATCGTATCTGATTCCGAATAATCCATTGCCATTGTTAAAGATCTAAAACAAGTAAATTAAACTGAAATGCAAATAGATGCATGGAAATGAAACTCAAGAAGTAAATATTTATTTTGTGTATATATGATTCCAATGAAATATACCTGCAATGCGAGAGTAAAGCCTGCCGAGTTATGCATACACCTTTCACACTACCTTCCTTATCTGTTGTATACTCAATATACGCAACAGAATCATCTGTAACTCGTGGTGGTATTGACCAATCTCTCGGTGGCTTACTCTGCAAATTAAGCACATTCAATGACAGTATTATGCAAAAACTGTCCGTTACTGATGTAGATATATTTTACGGCATCCTAAAGCAGTCAATTATATTTTAAATATCCCTATATATAACCGAAATAATAAAATCTACATAAGCTATGCTCAACTTGACATATGAAGTGATTTGCACTTCTTTTATTAAAAAAACATTTCTAATGATTCCTTAATCAATGTCGAATTTTGAGGAACATTTTGATTCAGCATACAACAAATCATATTTATTTAAAGAGCTTAAAATAGTGCTCAAATTTAAACAAATAATTTCCAAATAAGTATATAAATTTTGGCGATCTGTAACAATAACTGGTGCGCGAAATTCTCAGGAACATCAAGATTGGTGTTGGGTATCAAATAACACAAACAGAGTTAACCTGTTGTAAAAACTACGAAGCATTTGAACGATAACGCCAATAGCGTAAGACTTGTCATATCTAAGTCAAAACTTTCTGATTATTCTCGACTTCCTATACAAACACAAACTGAACACGTATTGCTACTTTCAAATGATTACTATATATTAGTGAATCCAAAAAGATAATGTGCAATCTAATCTGCTATAAAATCTGGTATCAACACAAAGTGTTGTTTTCAAGTAATAATTCATTTGTACCAGTAAATGCACAATGATAATTTGCTAAAAGTTCACTAATGCACATCACTGAAATTTAAAAGTAGTGGAAACAACGGCAATAAAATTTTTAAGCAATTATGCAAAGTCAAATAAATCCCATAAAATCATACCAAATGTTCAGTTGTAAGCCAAACAAGTCGTGGCCATCCCTTGAAATCAATAATTTCACTACCAGGTATTAACGGAGCACTAGAATTAGAATAGCTCTGATTACTTGATGAACGTTTTGGTAGGCCCTTGTAACATGCATCAGATGTAAGAGCTACCTTCACACCACAACTCCCAAGCAAAAAGCCAAGTTGTTGGATACCCGCATCCTGAAATAAATAAACGTACATTCATAAGTTATACTCAACGGAGTAAAGTTTTAATGAAAGTGAGAAAAAAAAGCATTTAAAAAAAATTGAATATTTATCAACAGTGAGATAGATAATGACAAGCAAGACTGTTTGTTTATCTAGCAAGCAAAAGAATCTAAAATATACCCGTCTGGTAAGTGGCACTTCGACCGGTACTGGAATAATTCCAGCTAGAATACACCCGTAGAAAGCGACCAAAAATGAAAGAGGTTCCGTATTCGGATAAACCTGACGAAAAAAATATCAATTTTTAATTTAATCAAATTTCAAGTCTATTATGAATTGTGACGTATTCCAACATATGTCAATGATAATTTTTTCAGCTAAATTCCTTTATTCATTTTTTCGAATACATTCGTGGGAACGAATGTTCCAGTACTTATGCAAATTTAAATAAAATTATTCGATTCAGCAACATGGCTCATGATGAATTCACCTGTAAATTTACTTAAAAATACATATGAATTTCAATATGATGAATAAAATAAATCAGCATAATATCGATTACCATTAATTTAAAAGTACTTACCAAAGCTACTCGATCGCCACTTTTACATAATTGAACCTTTTCCTTGCCAACTATGCCAGGAACAAGTTTAGTTAACAACATATGGGCAACTTTTGTAGCACGACTTAAAAGTTTGCCTAAAAATAAATAAAAATTTCCCATTACAAAGTAATCTCACAAAATAAATAATATTTATAATGAATCGTACCAGCAATACAATACACAAATGCAAGACAGATAACATTTACATCAATAATTTTTTATTGAAATATCGTTTCAGATACTTCTTTTATGACACTAATTGTATCAATGAACACTTACCGTATGTTAGTGAGTAAGCCGGTCGGGCAGAATGATCCAGTACAACAGCGGCTACCATTCTTGGTTGTGACGTACCATACTTATGCAATGCAGAATCAATAGAACGTGGTAAACTTGTTGATACGGATGCATGATCACCACGTGCTGGACAGATCATAGGACCTTCTGGACGCGGTGCCGATGGATCAATAACCCGAGCTAATGCTGTAAATTCGTATTCTATTGAATTAGTGTTCCTTGCATCATAGAAATCCAAATAAATATCATTAAAATTGGATGTTAAATACAAATGCTTGAAATTGTGAATGTAAAAGTTTCAAGAATTCCTTCTTCTTAAAAACAAAAAAAAAAAAATATATTTTAAAATATATAGCAATCAAATTTCTGACATGAGTTTATTTCTTTTATCATTTATTTTTAATGATTGAAAATGATAATTTTCAAAAAATAAACCTTCTAATTCCGCATCGTCATCGTTATAGTATTCATGGAGCGGCTTTTTCTTCGGTCTCTGTAAACTCATTAAACGGCATTCTTGCAATATATGCAATTCATAGAAATACTTGCAACATTCTAGATCACATACTTTGACAAATTTCCGACCCAAACCCAAATCCGAAATTCTAATGAAAGTATTTAACTTCTGTTCCACAAAATTACGTTCATCTTTGAAACGTTTCAATGATAATTTCTTGTAAGAATGTAATGGATTAAATTTTTTGACAGCAATCGAAAATCCTTCTGTTAATATGGTTCGTTCAAAAGGCGTATTTCGGGGTTGTTGCTTTTTCAATGAACGTCGCAATGATTCTAATACTGCTTCAAATGTTTCATTTAAAGATTCTGTAGATGTTAACTCAGTACTAGTAGTAGCACCGCTTGGTAATCGACATATGCCACCTAATGATGGATGATAGGATTTTGGAAGCAAAGAATCGGTAATATTTTGGATGATAAACAATCCAGGCTTTGTTTCAGTAGCCACATCAACTTTACCACCATCATTTAAACAGGTTATCGATTCATCGATACAATTATCATCAGTTGATATATGATCACAATCATTTGTCATTATATTTGCTTCGGAGCAATGTTGCAATATCATAGGTAGCATTGCTGTTGCAATAGAATTTCGTAGCAATGCGGTAACACTGGTAGATTTAAATGTTCCAACGGTACCATTTTCATCCGATGAGGGTGAAATTTTTTGTTTCCGAATATCACTTATGCCAAATCGTCTGGATCTTCGGCTAACAATATGTGATCGCCATTTTCGACGAAGATTGCTTCGAATATTAGTTTCATGTGCTTTTTTCGAAAGTTTAGCTACAAATTTCGATGTAATTTTGCGCGGTGAAGATACTTGATGTAATGGATAAGTAGGCTGCGGATTAAGTGAGGATGATTGTTGCGGATGAAAAATATTCATCAATAACAAAGACATGATTAATTAATAATTAACCAGCCAGTAATAGCATATAATAAGAAATTTAATGCAACAAAAATTGAGGATAGCGTCGAAAGAAGATGAAAGCTTATCAGAATAGTATCAATTACGCAAAAAAAAATTCACGTCATCGAATTTCAAAATCGATAATTTAAGATGAATTTACGATTGAAGCCAATGAAAAATCACACTAACATTTCGAAATGCATTAAGATGAATTTACGGTGTAACAATGACTAAAATCCTTTGGAAAAAATGGAAAAAAAAGAAAAAAAAGAACTGATGAGAAAAGCATAAGAATCAGTATCATGTATAAGATGTTACAGGGAAATATTGTATAAAATTAAGAATTGAGTAAACTATAAATTTAAACAATTAAATACATTATACTGTTATTATAGATATATAAATTAATTTAAAAAATAAAAACAATTCGAATTAATAAAATTAATTTCCTAGAAGAATTCTTTATCCCTCTTTTTCGTTCTCTTCCCTTTTCTCTCTCTCTCTCCCCTATTGAAAATGAAATGAAAAAGTTTTTAAACATTCTTTTTTTTCTTCTCCTCAATATGTGTGCAAAGATAAGAGATGAAAAATCACGAAATAATTAATGACAGTTAACATGTTGAAATTTTTTTCTTTTTTTTTGTAATAAAATCCATTATCTGATTTAATTTGTATTTCGCATCATCGTATGTTTAAATTCAAAACGTATTTTGTTTTTGTTTTTAATCGTTCAATAAAATTGAATTCTATACAATCTTATATAACAATACTAATTAGCTAATTTATATATTAATATTAATTAACAAAATGGAAAGATAAAATAAGAAAAGTGAAAAAAAAGGAAGAGAGAAAAAATGAATGTCCTGAATGGAAATATATTAAAAAAAAAAAAAAAAAGAAAGAAGCAAAAAGCAAAAAACAAAACAAGAAAAAAGAAATGTGAAAATGAAACTAAAAACAAAAACAGGGAAAAAAACTAAAGAAGAAAATGAAAACAAAGTGTAAATTGTAATTTTCTACTAAGCTATACATCGATAACAACGTTACTGATCTTATTTCTTTCATAGTTTTAGTTGTGACAATTGACATTCAATGATTTCTTTCAAACCAAAAATTGATACTAACTATTTGTCCCATAATAGTTTATTGAACCATAACAATAAAATGAAAAAAAGGAAGAAAAATTATATGTAATTTTTGAAATTTATGACAAATTTGACGAAAATTTTTGGATGGTTAGAAAAATTAAAAGGAAGGAAAAGAAAAAAGGAAAAGTTGAAAATTTTAATAAATTTTAACGAACAAATAAGCTCAAATAATAATTTTTTATGTTTGATTTATGTGTTATAATAACGTTTACGATTATCTTCTCAACATTTTATAGACATGATAAAAATAAAATGTCATCTCAATTTCAAATTTTTTTTCAATCAAAAGAAATTTAAAAACAGCATGAGAAAAGAAAGGAAAGAGCCACAAGTGAAAATCGAGAGATGAAAACTTTTAGTTAATAGCACTATTATCTATTTTTCATGCTTCTAAAAAAAATAATAAAGTGCTCGGATATATATATATATATATATATATATATATATATATATATATATATATATA